TTCATGCGGGGAATTCCTGACATATGTACTCCCGACTATCGCGTTGACAGTCGAGCTCATCAATGAGGCCGCGCTTTTCTAATCTAACGTCAATCTGTTCTGCGCTCGCAATGACTCTAACGCAAAAACCACCTCGTAATCGATGCATTTCCCATTTTCTCGCCCTATTTCCACTCGTTCCGCCTTTCGCCCTTCCCGGTCGACGACGATGAGCTCTGCACCCTGCCCCCGGACCGCCAGTGAATCTTCTTTCTCAGCAGGTGCTAATGACCGCTGAAGGCTTGACGGCTCCGTGTTTTATTATATTCCTCTCCCGTAGCATCAGCTGCAGTTCGCACACAAATTATCATGCCAGCCAGAGATAACCCGGAGATCTACGAACCGCTCGGGTCAGATTGATAAATGACGCGGCTGCAGAGCCGTCAGGCCCGGATCGAGCTGGGCCTGTAATTATTCCTATTCACCGAATGTTTGTCTTCGGGAAAAGTTGGAGTTTCCGATCGGGAGTCGTTCCCGCAGTCCTTCTGTTCCCCCCGGAGATGCTCCCCCATCTCAGGCTACCTTGGATTACGCTAGTTGCTTAGGACTGTCGCATTCCCATCGGGAAATCGACCCACATCTTCTCAGATCTTCGACTCCCTGTTTTATAATTTGCTGCCGATCGCGTTCGAGGTGAGTCGGCAAACATCGGAGTCCGACCCACGTTATTTGCTCTGCGCAGAGAATCACCGAGTGGAAGACGCGTCCTAATTACAGCGTTCTCCCGTGAGTCTCTGCGGCCCCCTCGGAGTCTGGATAAGGAATCGCATGGAGGCGGAGCTGGTTGGCGTGCTCTGGGTCGCGAGAGCCTCACCTTTTGTAGGTTGCCCGGTCAGTCGCTTGGTCAGCCACCAAGTCAGTCAATCAGTCAGTCTGTCTGTCAGTCAGCCGGTGAAGGGTATCCCCGCCGTCTCAGTCAGTTCCATCAAGTCAGTTAACTCCTCATCGCGAGCTCAACCTGATCCCGGCTCACCCGGTTTCTCCTAGCCTCGACCCTCTTTTTTTGCCGCTGGTTTCGCTCATGTTTCCTGATTCTCCCTCAACGTCTTTCGGCATTGCCTCTCGTTACAATCCTTTCCCTGTGCTCCCCCTGTCGCAGGAAAATGATACGAAAACCTCTCTCGTCAGGCTTCTCGTCACCGCACCGTTCCATTTTCGCGGTCCTCGACTCCTATTCGCCTGGACGGCTGCTGCCCCACCCACGACGACGCATATGCGTCGGGGTTAGCCGTCTACATAAGGAGTGGCAAACCCGGTGGTCGGTATCGTTTTCAGCTCTCACCGCGTTTTGACGGCATCCATCATGAGGGGAAAGCCGAAAGGAAAAATACGAACCCCGCTCCGGTCAGCCCCGCATCGACTTTTCGTAAAATCGAATCCTATCGAGGAGCCCGCGAGAGTTCTCTTTTCCTTTTTTATTCCCGTGTGGTAGAATCCCCCTTATCCGTCTCTACGGTAAAAGCTTGCTGTGCTGAGCGCTGGTGGTTTCCTCGGTCAAACTGTATGATGTGTCGCCGAATCTCTGCGTCTGAAACTGTCGCAAGCGACGCTCTTGTTGAATGTTTGCAATGTCACCCGCGCTTTGCAGGCCGTCGCGGGATAACGTTTGTCGTTAAAGACTCGATGTTTGCGGAACGCTTTGGGGACACCGGCCGGCGCACATTCACTGATAACGAACGCAATTCGTCCCCCTTCCCCCGTTCCTAAAAAAATCCTGTGCGGACAGAATTTAAGCGGGAGCGTAGGTGTTGAAGACGAGCAGAATCCCGAGAACAGGTCGACAGCGTAGGTCAGAGGGTGATATCGATTGGTCGCTCAACATATTTTATTTAATACGCGCGACCACCGAAAGGATCAAGCACGCAGGTGTCCGGGATGAGTTTCTTCGGAAATTCCACCGAAATCTCTGTGCGAGCTCGCTGCTCTTCCCCCTTGGATGCGATAACTTTCGATGTAAGAAGCTTCAATGGATGGCGGGGGGGGGACGATTGGAGCATAGAAGGGCGAAACACCTGCAGATCCGAGCAGCTCAGTTATTTCCCGCCTTACCGGGTCATTCTGTCCCTAAGAGTCAGAGTTCGATTCGAATTCTCTCATGGAACTTGGAATTAGCGCGAGTTTCACAATGAGCGTGCACGCGGCCATCCCTCGCAAGGAGCGATTAATCCGCTCACGTTTCACAATCGTGAGGAGTGAAAATTTCGGGTTCCGTCTCCACCTCTCTCTCCCTCCCAGAGCGAATTTGTTCCTCCGTGACGCTCTCCGGGTAGCTCGAGAGCTCCTTCCCACAAACTGCATCCGCCCCGCCGCGCACCGAATCAGCCGCATCCCTCTTGCCTCTGCCACGTTCATGATTATCCCGAATACGTTGTGATGCCTTCGTTCTTGCGCTGCGGGAAAATCGATGGGTAGGCGAGGGGTTGCGGTCTGCTTGCGTCGACACGAATCTAGGTTGAAGCCCTCGGGAGCTAGCGAGTGAGCAAAGTCGCTTCTGGTTAGTAGGCAACGGAGCCGTAAACGGAACAGAATAGAGCCGTGCGACGAAAAAACTCCCGAATGGCTTATCATAATTCTCCTGAGTACGGCTCCCGCGTCAAGCAATCTCACAAGCCGGCGAGGCAATGGGCAATAATTTCTAGTCCATTTCACAGAGCTAAAACAGCCCCAAACTTGAGCCGGGTCCCGTCCACAGCCTCGAGAGCCACGCCAATTTATATACGGGCGTCGGCGACTAGACTAGGTAGTTCCTTCCGGCGGGCGATAGTCCGTCTTTTCCTTCTTGCCGAGAAGCGAGGAGATTACCGAGCTGCTTCTGGCGATCCAGATTCCCGCGTGGAGTGAAGATGCTCTGGGGAACACTTCGTCCATTCCAGACTCCCCCTAGAACATTGCTGACGACTTCGTTGCGTGAGCTCGACAGCCTCTGCCGATCTTCCCGGTTCGCTGGAGAGAGGAGAGGACAGAGAGCTTCGTGCGTCCCCGTTCACCTCCCGACCCGAATACGCGCAAGGACCTGCTGCCCCGATGTTATTCTCCGTCATGCGCCCTCTGTCGCTCAGCTTTAGCTTCGGTTGGGATTGCCTGGCGCAAATGATCCGCCTGCTTCCAGTGTGGCGCAGAAGAGCCGTTCTCCCCGTCGAATACACGGGCTGACGGCTCTGACGTCCAACACGTCCTCCATTGAGCAATAGAGTGCGCCGGAGTCATCAGTGAATGACATCTTGGTGAGCTCGAGTCAAATCTATTTTTGATTGCGCTCCGCTCGCGAGCAGCGAAGAACACCGTCGTGACGAAATATTCCGTAGCATCGTTCACAACCTCCTGTCTCTCACCCTGTCGGGGGATGAGACATGCGACGAGGAAGAGTACTGTTTCGCCTTCCGGATTTTTCCGCGACCTCGCACGACTCAAAAGTCAGGGACAGGTGTAAGCGCGTCGTCGGAATCGAAATTCTACTCGGGGACCTGTCCTGGGATAAGAATGATCGTCTGTTACAACAATCACGGAGTTCTCTCTTGCCGATAGATCTACAATATACGATCTCGGTTCAGCAACAGTTGGTGGAGCTCCCCTTCAGTCGGAAGAAAAATGGCATTTTGCACTCTTCGGTCTCCTTGTCGCTCCGACTAAAGCCCAGGGGAATCGCAGATGTCTGTCCTGTGCTCTCATGGGGAAGAGAGGAGGAGAGGATTTCAAATGAACGGACGATCGGGGAAACGACCGACTGAACGAGCCGATCTCCTCCGAAGCTCACCGTCGACGGTATAATCACATAATCACTAATTCAAAGTCCCTTGTCGACCTGAACGACTCTGTAGTATGCGAGGGGACGAACTGCTGGCGTGAGTGTATCCTCCGCTCTTTCTCGACCCAACTTCGCTATTGAGGGACGCCGATCTCTCTATCGTCGAGGCAAAATCCACGATTCGACGGACGCTCCGCGTGTACGTGATCTCAGGTGGAATACCCTTCGACGGCTCCAGGCCAGCTTTTATCCTCGTACGATGTTGAGCACAACAACAGGTGCTCACGAGTCTTCGTCGGAACTCCTCATCATAAAGGAGCTCGTGAGGCAGCACATCTAATTGAGCGGTGTCCGATTGAAATGGACAGCGCGATTGATTGACTTGAGCGTGGATGATGTCGGAAAATTCCAGGGGTCCGATAAGTGCCACCGACCGGAATTCTCCGGTTTCCCGGGAAAATTTCATTCATGAGAGTTTATGATCTGGATGCGCTACATCAACAGGATAGATCCAAGGGATAGAGACCAGGATCTCAAAATGAGCTCCGGGAGTATCGGATGATTAGTGCTCGTCTATTCCATCGAGAGAGAGCTTCTTCGGGCTGAACCACACAGCAAAGCCTCAACGCCCCCGGTATTGTTTCCCACGTTGCTTCCGAAGGCTAATACAGAGAGCCTATGCACGTAAGCTTACCGATGTGAATGTATCCTGGGCGGGATCTTCAGACACAAGTTTCAATATTCGGCTCATTCATTCATGAGCTCGATAGAACAAATCGGGATAGTCAGAGCTTCAGCTTTTCTGGTTTCCGAAGCCGCCTATGCTTCACGCTGTGAGCGCTCAGACTTTGCGTTGTAGTTGTCGAGTTTGTGGGGTCCTCCTAGCGAGACCGTATACGATACTGATGGGCACTTAGAGCCTTTGAAGGCACAAGCTCGTCTCCTGTGACACAGCGTGGGCAAGTGGAGGATTTTCCGACAGACTCTCAATGAGGATCCGACTTCAGAAAGGCACTTTGTCCTCGGAGATCGGATCCCCAGCGAACGTTTCGCCTTTGGAACAGCCCGCTAGAGTTTCTTCCGTCATTTTCTCGTCCAATCGTCACTGAGAGCGCAAGTCTTTCGATTCCAACAGCGAATGGTTTCCAGATCCTTTCTGTTGGTCCAGATTCGCCCGTGTCCCGCTCGAGTTTTCCATGAACGAGAGGAAACCACGATGAAGGGTATGCGCAGAGAAAAAGGCTGTTGGAAATTTTCATTAATCATTCAGTGCGCTCTGCCTGGCATTAGCGGAACCTCCCCTCCAGGTTGGGGAATACAATAGGCACTAGGTTAGAGGGGGGGAAGGATCCACGGTCTTGAATGATTCCACGTATGGAGTCTGAGCACCCTCGGGATTTCCATTCTGGCTCCCGCAATCGAGAATAACGCGTCCTTGATCAACCCAATGCTCGCGCATGCGAGATGCAGGTGACCATGCCAATATTCCCTGTTTTCTGTTCCAGAACTTCTGAATGCCACGAGAAGAGCACAGGCAAACGTGAACTACCAAGACGCTGACGGGTGAGTCTGACTGAGAGCACATTGGGAGCCTCAATCTTCTTATTGACAGTCTGCGGGAATATATATGGGGCAGATGCGATGCGTGAATCGTTCCTATTCTACCATCACTGCATCATCATTAGTATAATCAGCAGCGCAATCGAGGATCTGGCGGCTGGAATGCGGGTCTAGAGTGATTTGTGGTATCAGTAGGTGCATACCTGATGCACCGAGACGTGATTGTCCGCGAGCTCGCAGCGTGGGAAAAGTGCTGGATGAGCTCGACTCGAGTTGAGCTTCATAGAATCCCTCCGAGATTTGGTCAAACAAAACTTTATCGCTCGCTGGCGACCGTCGCGTATAGTCATCGGAAAAAAATGTTCGGAGAAATGCATTTTCACGCTCAAGGGATCGTATGAAAACAGTGTAGGTGGCGCACACGGTGCACTCAGGATTCTTGTGACCACGTTCGCTCGACAGCCGCTTTCTAGGAATTTCCTACGTAGCTCGCCGACGCACGAAGATGGATTGGTTTGAGGTGGGCTCCAGGGCAGTGTACGCTCAAGTCCCAGGGCCTGAGAAATTCGAGTCTCCTTCAGTAATTCTAGAGCTCACCGAGAGTGGGTGAATACCAACCAGCGGACGTTGTCGCAACGACCCAGCGCCAGAGACCTTGAAGGCCGATCGGAGAGAGGGGCGTCAGATTTTTCGGCCGCTTGTTCCCTTACTGTGATTTCGCAAATGTCCGATCGAAAAATATTCACTACTGCACGATCGAAACGTGGAGTGACATTTCGGCAATGTATTTAGCTCGATCGCTCCGTTCGACTGTTCGGATCACCGGAGCTGGAGGGAGCTTGAGAAAATATTCAAGAAGAATTTCGGTATGGAATCGACCTGGAACGTGCCGTGGACATATTGGTGTTCGGGGAGATGATCCGGTGAAGTCCTTCGGAAAACCTGCCAACGATGGTAGAGTTAGAGAGAAGCCGGATGACGGGACCCGGAAAGAGGCTCAGCCGTGGAAAGTGAACGGAAGCGTATAATTCCTTGCCGAGTTTGAGCGAGTGCTCACGTGAGAGAGTGGTGTGCGCGCGTTCATCCAGTCCGATCGGCAAAACAATAACGTCATCGTAAAAACCGTCCGACTGTATGGAGCTTATAAAGTTCGCCTGCTGCAACCTCAGCTGCTGTCAGTCAGTCAGTCGGTCGGCCAGCCAGTTCTTTTCCTCGCTTTTTTTTGCTCCGCTCGGCTTTGGCCGCCCCCGTTGTGCCTCCGTGTCTTGTTGTTGTTGTGGCCCCTTTGTGCCGTAATAACGGAACTTTCCTCTCACAAGCGGCATAACATCCTTCCTTTCTCTGATCTGTACGTCTGTGTGCGGTCTATTCCGAGCTCTCCCTGGCTCCTCTCCTCGCAGGACACAGCTTCTCTGGTGCTTCGTCTTCTTCCGCTTCGCGCTCATGAGCGAACTCATCCACAGTCGAGCATCAACGAAACGGAACAAGGACAACAAGTCGAGGTGGAATCCGGCGAACAAGTCGTCGAGAGGAACCGTGCGGGGTCAGGCTTAGACTGACCGAGCGGAACGGAGGGGGGGAAGGGAAGATCCGGGGTCTCTGCTCAAAACTCCTCGGCGCGGCGAGGGAAGAGCTTATCGAGATTCGCTGAGTTCTGAACGATCCGATTAGACTTCTTTTTCTCCTCTCCGAGGTCCTACCGACCTGCTTCCGGATTGAACAAGTAATGGCAATAGTGAATGGCCGCATCCTATTCGAATGACTTTCATTTTTTTTCACTATTCTTCCCCTCAGGATAGCAATGGATCTGTGACATATTAATCCGGATGAATGGATGTCTTCTTGAATAATTGTCTTCCGATTCCGGAAGGCGACCTCCGATTTGTGATCAACCAGTGAAAACACCTAGTTGGCGAGAACAGGGGACGAGGCTCGTCGACAGTCTCGGTTTCGGGAGCGCTGCGCGGGGCACATACCTTCGTCAGTGTATGCACACATTTGACGTACACATGACAACGTCAACACCTGTCGGGTTTTCGTGTTATCACACTGGATCAGCACTGTCAAGCGGCCAGTCGGTCTCTGCTCCGGATACGCCGCGCCGGCCTAATCAGCCGTAACAAACAGTGCCTCGGAGGAGAAGAGGTTCCGGGGAGCTTTTTCCTGACGAAAACCCTGTCGGAATTCCTGACGGAATTCCTTACTGGATCCTGACGGAGTCCTGAGCGAATCCTGCCGGGAGTTTTGAAGGAACGAGCGTGATGGTGATCAACAATCAATATTTGAAGCGAGCAAACCTTCATTCATTGCTCATTCAGATCTGCCCGATTGCCTCCGTTGAGAGACACGATCGATCGAAACACGTGATTCCCCTCAGGAGATTGTCCTCCCTCGCTGATCCACGCAACTGTCGAAAAGCTCCTGTCTGACAATTGATTGGAGATTCATTGACAATAATTCCCGTACACTCACTCATTCGTAGGACGTTATTTCTCGGCTCCTCCCCGAGGAACATATCCCACCCATTTTCCTTTCGATTCTTGATAAACTCATGTTCTGTCAATCAGAGCAGTTTAGTCGGGGCGAGCGTCTTGAAGTCACGCCAGCTTCGACCTCTCGCCCTGTGCGGGCGGTCACGCTCAATGCGGAAATAGGCACGTGGCGGCGGTCGTCTCGTAAATTACGCGAGAGAGTCATAAAGTGAAGTGATTGCGAAACATTCCCAATATTCACAGTAGGGCTCATTCAATCTCGCGTTGGTCCCCGGTCTGAAAACCGAGTGGCCGGTGATATTGAAACTCAGCGCGCAATCGGGAGTCGGCTCTGATGCTGCAGCGCGCGATCAGGATTGGACCCTTCGAACGTTCTCCAGTGATTCGACCCAAGGTCATACAACAGGCAAACGAGATGTCGCTCCAATCCGGTGGAGGATTCCACCGCCGCTTAATACAAGCGATCTCCAGTAGAGACGGCATGCCGTTTTCCTATTCCGCGAGGATCGCCTTGCCCAGACGGTATTGGCTCTAATGGCTTTCGAAAAGGCATTTCCGATCACGGAGAGAGAGGATTTATATTCCTTCAGCTCGATCATCTCTGTTATCTGGCTCAGGCTCGTATAGCGCGCTGGGCGAGATTCCCAAATCGCGTGCAGCGTGTACGTCAGTTTTCCCTTGAAAACCCTCCTATACCAGATTAGGCAACCCGATCGATGGATTCATCCCAGCGTAGTAGGTAGAGAAGACCCGCAGAAGTCAGTGACGAGGAGTAATCTCAAACAGGACTGACAAGATAGCGCAGTGAGCAAAGATTCAGCCGGACCACAGAACGTCATGTCACGACAACTCGGTCACGTCAGGACGGGTTTTCGGCGGTCGCGGCACTGAGCCGTCTCCAGTGTGCATCGTGTCCGAGTCTGGTCACGGAAGGGAGCCCAAGAATACTTCACACGGGTTGACAGCGCCCCGATGTCCCGGGGAAGGGAATTCTTTGGTGGGAAACATTTTTACCGATTCGTCCCGGATAGTTCAGCCGGATCCAAACCTCGATCCTTTCCTACGTTCATACGCAAGATATTGGCCGGAAAATCCAACGAAAGAATGTGAATATAATATAGTGAAACGCAATACGAAGACCAGGTTAAGCTTCCGATTCGCGATACGCATGAATTTCGCTAACTCGAAATGTCTTCGATGAATCGCTGAATGATTCTTTCTTTGATAAATTGCCGTTGCCGTTCCAGGGTCAGCGCTCTCCACCAAGCCGTGGCACAGAGTTCCGAGAAGATTGTCGAATGCCTGCTGGAGCATGGAGCTCAAGTGGACCTCAAGGTGGGTCTCCGTATGTGCTGATATTGGGGGAGTGGTTGTGCTTCAGTCGGCAGGCGGCGAACGAGCGGGCGGGCGGCCAAGCAGCTAAATGGCCCGCCAGTGTGCTCGCTCACCGATCTGCAATCCATCAAACAGAGTCCTGGAGCCATCTGCGGTCTCTTTCCTGCTTCGTCAACGAATCGGAAACGCCAACGGGATCTAAAGCGATTGGGTTTTCATTCCTCCCCGTAGGACAAACGTGGACTGCGACCACTCCACTACGCGTGCTGGCAGGGCGACGCGGGACTCGCGGAAACGCTACTCCGGCAGGGCGCCTGCGTTAATGACCCCGCTCTGTCAGGGGACACGCCTCTACACCTCGCGGCCCAGCTCGGACACGCCACCGTCGTGAGTACTATATGATGAACTTATCCGTGAATAGGACTCTCACTCAGTCACCTCGATGGTTTTCCCGATGGGGGAACCCTTCGGATTCTGCCTTCTGACTGATAGTCGTCGGAAGTGATGTGCCGAGGACCAAGAGTAGGTAATTGAATTGACAGTGAATAAGAAAAACAAATGCTGGCACGACGTCACCAGCTGACCTCCGGAGCGCTCCTGGGTTCCGGTCGCAAGACGACCGGGCTGAAAATCCTCCCGAGATAGTCAGAGGAAATGCTCTCAATCATTCGCGAGCACGCCAGGATTTCCTGCGGTTCCGGGAGGAAGAACTCGAATCCTGCAGGGGCTTTTGCAGGATTCGAAGCGTCCGGAAAGTTTCGACACAAACGAACTCCCAGCCTCGAGCTCGGAGCTCCCTGAGACTTGAGCGAGAAGAGGAAAGACAGATGTTACTCCGGCGGGGTTGAAGGCTGCCTGTTTGTTGTTCCGGGAAATCTGACTGAGAAAAATGACTGTGCGATTATTTGGCAGAAATTGAGAGCCACCGTCGGCGTCGTCTCTCACTCGAATCGGAGTCCGATGCCCCGAGCTTAGGCAGCAGATGTAAATGAACTCGGGGGTCTCGGAGCTCGGGGGGAAGGGGGAACGGACGCAGGGCTGGACGAAGAGGGAATAAATACGAGGAATGAGCTCTGGGTAGGAATAATAGAAAAACGAGTCCGCGATCCAAGTAGTGGGCCGCGGTTGACTGAATTTCTCAAGTTAGAAACGCTCACGAGATCCCTCCTTCTCGTGAAATCTCCGAGGAATTTATCGAACTATCCGTCACTAGAACAAGATGATGCGGATCTGCTTCGACCTCTTCTCGCCGAGATCCTAGCCAACGACGTGGACGTCGAAAGAGCATCAACGTTGCGCAAGAAACTCGAAAGTGACAATTTCCCCTCTGCTTGCTCCGTTACTCGCAGATGACGACATCTGCGGCATGGCAATCTGAGCAACGAGAGTGCGGATGCGGCTCAGCTGCCGTCGAACTGGCCAGAGCGGTTGCAGTTTCAGTCTGCGCCGGCGCCAACCCCACGACCGACCAGCTTGGTTCGTTTGCCAGTGGAGTTGTTATGTAGATCAGCGGCGTAAGTGCCTCATCATTGGATCTCGTAGTCGATTAGCTCCCGTCGCGCCGTTTCCGACATATGCGCGCGTGTACCAGGAGCGGAATCACAGCGATGTCGTGCTCTTCCAGACGTTGCTCTCCGCTGAATATTTGTCATTGGCCGTTGGCGGATCTTCTGCAAGCCGGAGGAAGCCCATTCTCGCGCAGAGTCGTTCGGGGAGAAGCCGAAGAGAAACCAGATCGAATGTCAGAGAGCGTCGCGTCGCCCGAACATTCGACTTGACGACTCACTTCCCCATTCGCTTGGTGATGGAGTTCGCGAACCATGCGATGACCCACTTTACTTCTGGCTGAGCTCATTCCGGTCTAGACGCAGAAATTGCCGATCTAATCGGGACAATCCATTGCCCAGCCGTCGGTCTGAATGACATCAACAATTATCCGATCGAACCATCCCGGGGAAAATAGAGGGAAGGGGATCCGCAGTCCGTACACCGACACGCGGAATTTCTAAAATCACGATTCTCGATTCGCGACGTCCTGAACCTAAACTGTCTGAAAGTCACTATTCGGGCCGTCTGAGCAAGAGGAGCTCTAGGCGAACAAAGTCAAGGAGAAAATAAGAAGTAGCCAGTCGAGCTGCAGTATCTTCAATCAAGGACGTTCAGCCGCTCGATGCAGTGATAATCTCCTCTAGTCGGGGAGCGACGTCCCCGATCGCTCGTTTGCTTATCAACACGCAGCTGATAAGCACGGAGAAGAGGCACCACACAAAAGCCCGGCCGTTTTGTATTCGACACAGCGGCTGGAGCCTAAGCGACCGTCCATGCATCGGACTGTTGAGAGGCCGAAAGCCGCGGCTATCGTCGGAGGGGTCGCGGAGCTGGAGAACGGACGTATATGTGTGGAGCTCAAGAGGGGAAACCGACAACAGGTTAAATTTCAAGGAACCCCAACTGGTGAGGGTTGTTGAGAGAGAACACAGCGGACAAAACCTAGAGATCGCTCGTCGAAAGCCGTCCAATCATCTCGAAAGGGTCTTATTCCATACCGCGATCGATGAGAGGGAGCCCCTCGGTTTTTCCGCTCGAATGAGATCCGACTGCAATCGTCGCAGTCTCCGGAGTGACCAGCGCAAACCGCGGATTCCTCGACCTTGAAATCGCTCGTGGGCGAATCCCGGGGAGAACCGAAGTATCCTCTTCAATTCCACCCCCAAGCTGGAGGGTGCGACTACCATGAATACTACACGTGCGATGCATCGGACAGTCCCCCGGGGCTGAATCCACGCTTCGTTTGTCCCAACGACTTCTGAGGCACGGCCAGGGCGGGTAAACAATCCCTTGCGATGACCTCCAGCATTGAGACCGTCTCGAGCTCCAATACCTGTAATGGGGCCTCCTCAGACGTCCTGCAGCGTCGCTAAATCACGGCCGAGCAATCATCCATCAAACTGCGGCCATAAAATCATGTCGAGGCTTGCGGAGATCAACTTCTAGATACGTATAGAGCCTCAGAACCCCGTAGAGGTAGACACTCCATCGCTTCATGGAAGCTTCGGGGTCTACTGCGTCAGAGCCGTCTTCAAGTATATGGACACGATGCAAATATTGCTACATATGATGTGGAACACTCGGAACTTCAAGCACGGAAGCTTATCCTGAGATTCACCAAGTGTACATACATCCGGTGGCATCGAGCTCCGCTTGTTAAAGCTGATGAAAAAAACATTCGATATGAGGTTCGTGGAGACCTGAGGTCAATACACAGACTCCACGGATTCTGAGATTTGAGCGACTCCACGTCTCTCGCCAGTCGGATCGAGGATTCATAGATTGACAGTGAGCGAAACCTCCGACGCTGACGGTCGACAGAGATTCAGGTCACTTGGCCGAAATAGCGAATGTCAGCTGTAAACTGATCCAGCCCAGCGGAACGTCAGCCGTGGAGAACAGATGTGACATCGAACGATGACGGAACTGAAGACGACGACATCTTCTTCGACAGGGAAAGGCGACGGGAATGAGAAACTGCTCCGCCACCTGCTTCTCCTCCTGCATTTTCAACCCCCAAATGGGCTGAGCGTCGAATGGCGACGAATTGCTGATTCTGGATCGTTCAAGAATCGTCTGAAGGAGAAAAGAAGCGAAGACAGCGGAGGTACGAGAGCTCGCGGTCTTGTTGTTCCTCGCTACGAGCAGCGCGTCGCAGCTCGAGACAATCAGGAGAAGCTGTTTCCCGCACGTTTTGAGGAGTATGTACTCAGATATTCGAGAGCTAGTCGAATCGCATCGCATTTAGCTCACGACATCATGCCGGTGGATCTATGGGCATGTCCTGACGTTCGGGGACCCGTTCCGGAGTGGCAACTCCCGCAAACTCTGATTTTTCCTTGGAGAAAATTGACGCTGAATTCGTTCATCTAGTTTGTTTGGGAATAGAGGAGTCCGAAAGTGGAAGGCGGAGAATAATGTTCGAATAAGCGCGGACCTTCATCGTCCAGCCTCGTAAAATATTCATTCCGGAGAGATTTGCGTCTAAGTTCTTAACTCGCGGAATGCCTGATCACAAAGTTCCGGAGTCAGAGTCTTTCGAAAGTTCATTATCAAGGTTGAGCATAGTCTGCTAGCCGCGAGACGAGAGTTTTGATTCTCGTGACAAAAAGTCATCATGTGCTCGGGAGTGGAATTCAATAAAATATGGATTAGTTGTGGAAAGCGGAGATATGAATCCATCCGAGAGCTTCAGGCGTCTGAACCGCCAGTGATATTCGGAACAGTGGGGAAGATGTCTCTCATTCAGCAACGAATACTGACCATTCGATTCCATCCTATTCCGGGTCGGTAAAATGAAATCATCCACCGTGAATCTCCGAGCTTGGCCTCGAGCTCGGCTCATTAAGAACAAGGGAGATCCGTCTGCGGGAATCTGACCCCTATCATCCTGACCCGTTTCCCCGAATCCACAGATCCAAACCCTGATGTACTACCATGCGAGTACGTTATCCCGGAACCACGAGCAGAAGACCCCTCTGGACCTTGCCGCTGAATTCGGACGTTTGAGAGCCGCGCAAGTTCTGCTCGGCTCGAACCGGTGTCGGCAACTTCTGCAGGACTCGAACCAAGATACCGCGGATAACAATAGAACGACGGCACTCCATCTGGCCGCGCGAGGCGGTCATGCCGATGTTGTCAGGTAAGGAGACAAGACACTAACAACTTCAGAGCTGTCTCTGATCTGGAATTTTCCGCTTTCGTTTGTCCGCAATCGGTCCCTCAAAATACTCTGCGCAGACCAGCGACGACAGCAGAGGTGCTTCGGGAGCCGGTTCGAGTAGACTCCGTCAGGAAAATCGTTGACGATACGGAACAGAAGGAGAGACCTAGCCGCAGTCGAAACCGTGGACTACCGTTACTAACGGAAATACTTTAATCTCGCGAGCCGGTTTTTGCACCGTGACGACGATGAAACTTTTCTCGGATTCCGAGCATTTCGGTCGCGATTGCGTTCTGCAGTGAGAGGGAGAGCTTCGGAAAACTTATCTTCGCGCCTGACCGCAGAGATTCGGGACCTTCGCTGTTAATGCTCGACGCAGACGTGAGCGGCGAAGAGCAATTGAGGGACGCAAGTCGGAAACTTTGCGCGAGTAGCGTAGATTCTGCTTGGCGAGTTGCGAGTTTCTGACCCAAGTTTTCCCATGGAGCATCGATTCGGGGGAATTTTCACAAATAGAAAATCAAGTGACCCGAGCCGAGGTTCCGGTGTTCTCGAGAGCGATCGAAGGCTTAATGAGAGAGAAATAAGGGCGAATTGGACTTGGATTTTCAGGTATCTCTTGGATCTCGGAGCGAATGTTGACCGATACACCCTGCGAGGGACTCCTCTTCACGAAGCAGTATCCGCAAACAAGCTCCAAACTGTGTCCATTCTCCTGTATTCCGGAGCGGATCAGACGAGGCCAAATCCCACGGGCTTGACAGCCATTGAGCTTGCAATGAAAGCCTCGCCATCCAACGACGAAATCGTTACCTGCCTGAAAGGTGAGATACGCAGGGCATTCTCTCTCGGAACTTTTTGCAGCATTGTGACGGAAATAAGCGACGGTGCCGAGCGAGCACAAGATACGGTGGGTCGCAGAGTAGATTCCTCTCATATCGAATTCTTGATAGCGAGGACCGAAATATCGTTCAATATTCGCTCCTAGTGGGAATCGGCAGTATTTCCCGGATAATGTTGAGGAGTGTTGGTTCGTCGACTTCACGAAATGATCGAGTGCTCAAGAAGTTTAGATGGAACCTTAGAGCATTATTTCTACCTAGTCCGAACTCTGCTGGGGGTGAACGAAACATCTCCATTGTGCCGCTCGACACAGACTTCCTCCTGACCGCAAAGATGGAGGAACGAGTATGAGACCGACCGAGAGAAAAACACGAGTCGCCCTGCTCGGTCTGGCAAAAAGCGAGTTCCCCGACTCGACAATTAGTGATTCCGCGAGCTCAGCTACGATCGATAAAATCATCATTCCAACGAACGAAGGACGTTCCGCGCGGCAGAAGCCAGGGAAAGGCTCGGTGCAGCCGCAACAAGACAAAACCATCTTTTGGTTAGCCTCGGCCCGCGCTCCGCTGTGGACTGTGAAAGCGCGATTTCCCATGAGACTCTTCTGCATACCATGACTACATTCCCGCTTACAACCTCCGGCGGGCTGCGAGGAGGGAGAGGGGTCGGCTAGAGGGAACATAGCTGGACATGGAAGGACAGGGGACGAATTCACAAGAATTCGGGTGAGATGCATCCAGCGAGAAAGTTATTATGCTCGAAAGAATTCTCGGTAAGTTGAGCGCTGCGACAAAAAGTGGTGGGTGTGCGGTTGTTGTGTGTGGCCAGCCACCCTCGGCACAGAATCACCCACTTAGCTGATGTGTGAGCACTTGGTCGTCTGAGCAGGCGGGCGGGCGGGCCGGCCGGCGGCTGGAAGGACGAAGGGGTGTGTGCGTGCACGGGAGGAGGACGTGCAATGAGGGGGACCGTCGAAGAGTCAGGGGTCGTGCTCGAGATTAACATCGCGACGATTTCCTTGAATGGGGATAGCGCTCGGTGACACGACACGACTTTAGGAGCGATGACAAGTGCGCTTGTCACGATTTCTTTGCCAGGTGGATTCCGAGCTCCCCAGCCCCGGCGGTCGACTATCGTACCGTCGTCGGCCGCCCACCGCAAATATCGTGAATGTTGTTCATGTTGAAATTTCGGCCCGAGCCCAATATTCCTCTCGGTGCACAGCGTTTTTTCCGCACGCTTGCCGCTGACCACGTTGGCTGCGTCGAGGGACGCGCTTCGCGCTTTGGCGTCATGCCGTACGCAGGCCTCAGCTATAAGTGATAGTCTCATTTTTCCCCACATCTCCATTCGATGATTCCCTTTCCTCGCCCATCCGAGTCTACTGATTCCCACAGTTCCCTCGCGGTAATCGATACAGTGTTGAGCCTCCTTCGTTTTTGAATATTTTTCCAGGGCTTCCGAGTAAAACATTTACGAGCCCAGGTAACAAGTATCCTCTATTTGCTGAATCCATCAGTGGCGCCGGGGGAACGTCCTTCAGGCGCTTGGGCTCATTCATTCATGATCTTCGTCTCTCCGGGAGGGCCCTTAGGGTCCCTCTCAACGAGCCAGCTTTACGTCCGAGTCGAAGTAATGCACTTTGTTCGAAGGAGGTTACGCCGATGTCGGTAGCCTCCTTGTGCCATAGGTGCTGTCGGTGAGGTTGTTGTTGTTGTACTATATTCTTGTTTGGCTGGCCAATTCGTTCACTACTGTCAACTCTTGTGGGACTTGCCTTACGCGCACAAGTGAAATGCTTCCATTTTATTAAGCGAGCAACCTTCCCGGTCGCGGTCGTTGTTACATCGTTGGCTCCTATTCTTTTTCTGGCTTACAAGGTCTGTACACAGGTTCTCAAACCTCCGGCTTCTTCACCAGCGACATGGGGCAGGAACAAGGGCATCCTGTACTAGTCGAACGTTTCGGGAGACTTCGATTCGATTCCGCGTGAACCTCTCGGTAAGACGGACCTTGAACTCGTTGAGAGGGATTCCGCTCGGTCCGAGAAAACGAGGGGGAGATTTCGTACGTCTCGTGTGGAGCCGTGGAAAGCGACAGTTGGGCTGTGTCACCAGTCACACTTTCCGAAGTGAACTCAGGGTACCATGCTCTCAGGGCTGGTCCCTCGATGCTTTTCCCACATACGCAACGCAACGAATTTCGGCCTCCGCTGGGCCCTAGCGCGGCCACCCTTCCGAGGCTCATTCAGGAATCGAATCATTGGGTCAGTTAAATTAGGTCGATCTCGAGGCTCATTCCTCGATGAGTATCTGACCGATACCAATGGAAGAATTAGTTATTGATGAGGGCACGTCTCTCCGTTTCTGCTGAGGAGCGTCTATCTCGCGAACACCTGGCCCGAAGTGACCTGGCCGAGCTAAGCCGAGTCGTGTCAAGAGCAGAGAGGCGCGGCCACTGAACCTTCTACCTTGTTTTTAGTTTCCGCTGATCTGCGGGCGCCGGTCTGCGTGAGCTCCAGGTTACCGCCTCCGGATCCACCCTCTTTCTGTCTTCGATTCGCTCCCATTCCTCGGGAGCATAACAGTTTTCCCCTCAGAATCACGATAGCGTTCATTTAGCCTTGGGTGGGAAGGGGGTAGATATGATTTGCGCGGCCGAGAATTCCTCAACGATCCATCGGAGCTTAAAGCCGGATGACTGCCTCTGTCCGTTGTCCTCCGGGCGACGGGCAGTCAATCGCCCACCCATAACCCCCGAATAATGATCAACCCGAGGCTGACTCGCAACGGGAGATTTCTGTGACCTGTGACCTCTTCTCATATGAAGTATTTCATCCTCATGAATCAGTGCTCCTCTACGGGGCTCCCGCGAGCCCTCGGGGCTGGGGCCCGTGCTCAATTATTACGCCGAGTCGCTCGAACCCCCTGGGAGGGTTCCGGATTTGATCCTTTAATTTTTGAGTTACAGAGCTACGAAACTCACAAGAAGCCGTGGCTTCAAGGGATTTCACCTCGGATGAAGGATGGAGTTTCAGTGCGGGTGATCGTGTGCTGGTGCTCGAAGTCTGTGGAGATGATTCAATCCGCGGAGTTCCTATTCACAATTGTACGCACAATGTGTCCAACAACTCTGCAACTTTCGCGAAGCCCCCACGCGCAGTTGTCATTCTACCTCGGAGCACACTCAAGTTCCGCGACGAAGGTGAGCAGTTTCAATTTCTTCCAGCCGTACTACGCTCCAATTACTCGAGCCCGAAGAAAATGGGTCGATCGCCGACTCAGTCAGTCCATATTGTACCAGAGGGATATCGGGTCAGTGGGAGACTCGGTTTGGCCCCGTCGAGCTCGCATCCAGAACCTGAAGGAAGACATCCCTAGCGAGAGAAGAATAGCTAGCAATCGAGACCCGGAAGTTCTCAACTGAGAGGCGGCTTACGGTGCCGGTGTGGGCGATGATCGACTTGTCGTTGGACGTTTTCTCGACGATGCGGTACCGCCATCAAGAATGACGCGAGTATTCATTGTGCTGAACCTGTTGTCCCCATGGTGCGGTCTGTCCTACGCGCTGAAGCCCGGTCGAGAATGCGAGATCTGAGGATCCCAAGATAGTGATCAAAAGTGAAGCTCTCGCTTAGGTTTCGATCCGGTGATCTATTTTCAGCCTGTCTGGATAAGATCGCGACGGCTTTCCCTGCCTCGCTCGTAGTGAGGTCTAGTTCCGACGAAACTTGCGAGGAATCGGATGACGCACAGATCCACAGATCATATGGAGAGGCAAATGTCAGGGCTAGTCGAATTATCATACGGGGAGAGGGGAACCTCAAAATGGAAATCTTGAGAATGCAATGCCTCGCGCTGAGCCTGGTTCCGGGTCGTCTCGATATGTCATCTGATGTCGCACTGGATCGGAAAACGAATATTGAGCTCTGACAGGCAGATCTCGACGCTCGTTGTAACAGCGTCTTCATCCGCCGGAAAATCCCGTGGATTCGTTACACTCCGGCGCGGATGATTCTGAGGCTGAGCCAGAGTGGGAGCATTCATTGCTCTCACTCAGGACGAAGCTCGCGGGTCCTCCGCGTTCTGAAGTTCTCGGGTGAGGAAGGCCGTGCGGGATGATTGCGGAATAGATTCTCGATCCTCGGAGGATATATATATATAAGTAAAAGTATCTCGACGGTTTCATCATTTCCACATGTCGTGTGCCATATAAGATGACACGGACTCGATCCGTTCCTCTGTCCTGTGCCCCGCTCCTTTAGACTTCAGCTTCCACAAATTACTCCGGGATTCGATTCGCATCGAGCTCATTCTCCGCAAGAAACGCTTGATCGTATCCACGAGCATCCGTCGGGCCCTGTTCGAGAAAGAGCGCGCTTGGGAAGTTATCGCTCTTGGCACAGAGGACGCTGCGATCGGGTGAGCAACATGTGAGGGGGCGCTGCGATCAGCTGGCACAAGTTTTCTCGTGAAACAGAAACAGACAGACAAGAACAACAAGAAAGCACACCGATTTGCGGCCGCAGCAGCAGCTCAAACAAGTAGCGGGCTGTCGTCGGGGTCGGAACTCCGGACTGTAATCAGTGGTATCAGCTGTCCACGAGTGTCATTCGTTTCGTAACTGCCGTTCGTGCGTGATGTTGTGCGCTACTTCCTCGAACTGAGTTTTACCTACGGATAATAAGTTATCAACTTGCGATGCCTCGGAAAGTTTATGGTAAGTGGGCCGCCGAGGTGTGGTCGGTGGAATCAGTGAAGCAGGCAGGCAAGCCAGCCAGACGGGTGGTGGTAGCAGACAACAAGTTACCGCTTGGCAACTCCTGAACTTTCGCGTCTGGAGTACTTACTGGGGATTGTCTGATTCTTGACAACAACTTCTCTAGATTGCTCAATATTCTAGCGTCCTAAATACATACGTGTTGTCACTGGAAGAAAGTTTCGTCAAGAACAGGTTGTTGTCCAAGGTGGCTCCAATGGCCGCATTGTTTCCCGACAGACTTATTCATTCGAGAGATTCAGAATTTCCGAAATTGCTCCTCAAGCAAATTCAGGATGTTGGTGCTTGAACTCTGACCGGGGATTCGGAAGCTGTTTCTTCCCTGTCACGACGGAAGACTGTGGCGGTATCGCTTTCCGCCATGTCCTCGCTTTGAATCGTTATATTTTTTTGCTATGTGGGCAGAAATGAGGCCCGGTCGATTCCGAAAAGTATTGCGGGGTTTATCCCTCTAGCTATCCCTCTAGGATCATGGCTTATGACAACGCTAGAGCCTGGCTGGCGATGACAATTCGCTCGGAGAAAATACTTGGAAAACCCGGAGTACGAAGTAACTGCCGCCTATACCGCGGGTAAATCCTTGCAGTCCTCACCACATCAGAGCTCCGAGGGGAGAGGTCCGAGCTCTCTCGATATTTAGGATTCGACTTCTAAAACTTTGTTGAGATCCGGGTAACTGCCAGATCCTCCTGGATGAGGGATACAGTGTGTCCGCAACATTTTGCGAGGCTGGCAGCTCTCCGCGTGAATCAATGAATGGACAGAGGATGGACGAGGAATAACGGGTGCAAGAGAAGTGACACATTCACATCGGGTGAACGATTGAACGCTTCGAGGTGTCAAGTCAACCGAAGTGGAGGGAGTCTCTAACGAACTGTTCGAGACGTGAACGTAGACTTTTCGTTGAGCGTCCCACGTTAGTTAGGGATGGTTGAGTCGCGTCATCGTCTACTTCTACTCGAACAACGGCTTTCGCAGCAGCTGTGCAGTCGAGATAACACTCTCACAAATACGCATACAACACACTGCCTGGCTACCGACCCGCCGGCCGGCCGGCCGACTAGCTAGTCAGCTCCCTGCCTGCCTGCCTGCCTGCCTGCCTGCCTGCCTGCCTGCCTGCCTGCCTGCCTGCCTGCCTGCCTGCCTGCCTGCCTGCCTGCCTGCCTGCCCGCCCGCCTGCCAGACTGCCTGATCAGCCACCGGGCTAGGAAGTGAGTCGACAGAGCGGCGGCGCGGCCACAGAAGTTTCTTTTAGTCTCTTCGGGGACAATCTACGTTTCGTCTACGGCTGCCGAAATTCACCCCCACTGACTTTTCCGCCGGAAGCCGCCGCAGACACGACTTTCGCCGGTGGCATCAGCATTGTCGTAAAAACGTTGACGCCGCAGTCACCGCCTGCAGTTCGTGGTGCGAGTCGTAATTTGCGTATCACTTCGATTTCCCTGCGATTTTCGATGTATTTAGGATTTTTCCATGCGGAAGACTCGGGATTCGATGTGCCGAACTTGATCTTGACATAGGCATAGCCGCAGAAATTCGATGGCGGATGTCGATTACATGCAACGTCAGTTCTTCGAATTTCCAATGACTATCATCGTGAGTCGCGGGGAATAGTACATCTTGACACTATCGATTCGACAATAGATCCCGATTTGGGTGTGAGCAGAACAACTCCAGGAGAATTTCTGTACAACAAATTCGCACAAATATGTGCTTGAGTGTGTCGGAGATGAAGAAGAGAACCCGAACGAGCTCTCCGATGATAGGAAGTGGCAGTGAGATGGAGATTAAGAAAAGTCGCTGTGCTGATAAGCTCGCGTTCCACAGCTGCTGGGTCATCCCATAAAACGTTAGAGAGAATAATCGAAGGAAAAGAGGGAAAACCGAGACAGCCGGCGAGCTCGATGTCGGCCGTGTCGACCGACGGAGCTCGACGAGGCGACTATCGTCACTACGGTCGCTTTCCGTAGTGAGCTCACGCCAAGACCGAGGGCAGTTGCGGTCCAAGGCTTCAGGGGGTGAGTGAGCTCTCATGGAGAACTCCAACACTAAGATAATTTTTTTTACATTATTTTCTTCAATACTTATGCCTCTTGCACCTGTCATCCTTTAGGACGGATTATTTCTCGGCCGATACGATCGATTGGAGCGATATTCTCTGAGGACCTTCTGACCGTGCCCATGATTCATTTCCTATTCCCGTAGTCTCGAGGTTGCCGACCGACTCAATTACACGTATCCGAAAGGCGGATATCGCTCCTGTGACCGCACGCATCTCAGAAAGTGAGACGTTCCCGTGTGTATCGAATTACGTCAGGCGAGCCATTGGTGTCTATGCACACTCCTGTCGCCGGTGGTCTGGGACTCGGTCGTCTCTGCCGTCATCTGCTCCCGTGTCTCACTGCCAGTCTGTCTCGGTTGGACACATTTCGCTCAGAGGTGATTCCAAAACATTCGAATAACGACAAACAGCGCTCCCGTTGGAAGTAACGGCTTTGTCGTGAGCTGGATCCCTGCTTCGATCCAAGGCTGTTTCAGTTGGATTTTTTCTTGTGCGGCATTCCGGAGAGCGATTCGATTCTTCGAACAAACGTGGCCAACATTTTCTTCCCCGAGAAGGAGTCGTTCTCTTGGTGTTGGGTGACCGCATATTCCTTCCGGCGGTATTGTTCTGTTCTCTGGATGAAAATCGTCAGCTCATCTATCTGGCTACGCTCCGTCGCTTGTTGAGGCTGCTGGAGATCGCAACTTGAGCAATATACTCTTCGTGTGTATTTTTTATCTTTGGAGAAGTTCGAGAGACGACGACTCACGAGAGATGCTCATAAAGCAAGCAATGGGTCAAGTGCGAGCCAGTCTAAAGACACGGACAAGGAGGGATTTGCTGCTAGGTAGTAATCTTGACTGACTCTGCCCTGCGCCCGGGCGTGGGATGATGAGACCGTTGGGGATGATCAAAATGATGACGCTGATCGTCTTGGTGTTACTGGTTCTGCCTCTAAGGAGTGTTTTCAATTAAGCCGCTGCGCATCCGTGGTTTGGAAGCTGTTGCTGAGCACTCTGATGCTGAAGCCCACTACTTCCACGGTATTCCTCGGGCTCCCAACGTCTCTCCGATTTTCTCAAAAATTCATGGAATTCCGCCCAGCGGCGATTCGGCCTCCGTGGCCGTCCTCGTTCAGAATGTCTCTTCGCCTGCTCCCGCCCCCGAATAGCGATCCGATCCCATCCCATCCGGGCTGTTACCTCATGCCCACATTCTCGGGCTCAATCGATTTCGAAATAATGTTCAAAATTCATTGGACGAAAAAGACCTCGAACACGGGCCCCCTCAATAAATAAACCCCTGCATGAACCCACTGAAAAAGTCTCAAGAAACTCCATCCCCATCAGGGATTCGAGCGTTTCATGCGTCAAATGTGTGT